GGAGGAGGAACAGCTCCCAGGGCAAGATAGGACAGCCCAGGCCTTATCACAGTGCCTGAGCCAAAGAGGGAACTGGAGAGTGAGCACTTTCCAACCACTTCATCCGAACAACAGACAGATTGGCAGGAAAGGCCTGTCAGCCCTTCACCTCTGTCACCCAGGGACCCCCATCCATGCAAATAACCCGGGTAAGTGCAGCCTGGGAGCTGCAAACATGAACACTGGGACCTGAGGGAGTGCATGGGGAAGGTTTTCTTACCTCCTTGATGGATTAAAATTAAGTAGAACATCCCAAGTTAAAAACTCTGTTCTTAGGAAAAATATCATGGATTATTGGTAAGAGTTTATTTCTGAATGATACTTGTGAGATCTGCACAAAACTCATCTCCTAGTGTCTTAAAGGCAGAGCTGGCAGGGCAAAAGACCTTGGATTTCAGACTGAGTGTGCATGAGACAGCTGAGGTTTCTCATGTTACATTGAACGCAGGGAAACAGCTGGAAAGTCAGAAAGTGCACGGTGCCACAACGGTGGTGGTGGAGAACTCAGCAAGACTGATAATACTTTGCATTTGAATAGCTCACAGTGCCCAGAGCATTGCCCAGTGTGAGAGTCAGATTTACAACAAACAATTCTGATGCTTACTGAGTGAGCTGCTCCTGTTCAGTGCCCAGAGCAGCTTCTCTCCTGTGCTGCCTTCCCTGAGGTTTGGGAACCACTACCACTTCACTGTTGCACCAGTCACTAAGGTTTGGTGTACAGAGAATTGCTCTGTCTGAAAAATAGTAAAACCTCCTGTGTGAATAGAAGGGGAAAAATCCTGACCATTCCCATTTAAACTGCAAAAGCATGAGCCAGCAAACTCCCCTTCACATCTTCTCCTAGGGCAGCAATAACCAAATCAATACAACTGAAGATCATACCAGGGACACCCTCCTGTGTTTGGATGAGCTCCCCTGGACCTGTGCAAGCTCCCTGTGCAAACACCTCAGCCATGACAGGGAGGGGAATGAGAGATTCCTGCAGGGCACATCCTCTGCTTAATTTCCCTGATGAAGCTGGGTCATGAAGGATGAACCAGTGTCACACCTGCAGCTTTAACAGATTTCCTTAGCCTGCCAGCCCATGCTGTTACCGGGTCATTGCTCATCCAGACCATCATATGGACAGTTCTCATCCTGCATCCCACCACCTTTGCTTCAGGCTGGTGTCTTGGGTCCTGCCTGTATCTGGGGGTTTTACTGAGATGCAAGCCCTGCTCCTGAGCTGGAGGGATGTGCTCATCCTTGGCTGCCTGGATGCAGTGCTGTCCCCAGCTCTCCATGGGATACAAGGCTAGAAACCTTCAGCAGTAGGTCAGGAGATCTCTGCTGTCACCTGGTGACTCAAAGGCTTTCTGCTCCCAAAGCACATATCTAAACCAGGGCTGAAGTCCTGCCTTGTATGCACCTATTCTCTCCCTGCAGAGAGGGAGCCCAGTATCTGTAGGCATCTAAAGTTACATGAGCTGAGTCACAGCCCTGTGGTTTCTGCACCACTCTCAGGCTGAGCTTCTCACAGCTAATTCTGCTCCAGCCCCTAATCTACAGTTCTCCAGGTCATGAACAACCTCTAAGCCATTTAATTCCTCTGTGCATCAAGGGCTCCTCAGCAAGCTCCAACAGCCACATTCAGCATCCACCAAAACAATTCTGACTTTCAAGGCTTCCTCATGAAGAGCAAGGGGTTTAAAAACCCATCTCCATTGATTCTGCCTTCCTCTTGGATAATTTTAAAGCCACAGGACTTTATCTTACATCCCAGGCTCATCTATATTAGGAGCTTTGGTGGGATTTTTAGCAGTGGTCAAGTTCACTGGTTTTTTTCTCTTTATAAATTAGAAGTTATCTCTTGTCTCAGTTGAGGAAGAGGAAATTGGAGATGACAGAGCACTCTTGTTTCTGAAAGGGCCCCCTCCTGAGAGTGTGGACATAGTGACACACTGCTGTGTGTCAGTCAGACATCTTTGCCTCAGCTCCATATTTAGATCCAGCCTGCAGCAGCTTCAAGATCTGCAGGTAAGAGCAAGGTAGAATTTCTGCACATGCACAGCAATATACTGGAGTGACATTGTGAAAAATCCAACAAAAACCCCATCAAGCATCAAAACAAGGTCTCTGCATTGGGATCCACCAATCCATTTTTCACCTTAAAATATTTGCGCAAATTTGAGTAGGACAACAAAAAATGGAACTCAGGTGAGCTAGACTTGCAGTTTTGTTTGTTAACCAACTTTATCTTACCTCCTTGATGGATTAAAATTAAGTAGAACATCCCAAGTTAAAACTCTGTTCTTAGGAAAAATATCATGGATTATTGGTAAGAGTTTATTTCTGAATGATACTTGTAAGATCTGCACAAAACTCATCTCCTAGTGTCTTAAAGGTAGAGCTGGCAGGGAAAAAGACCTTGGATTTCAGACTGAGTGTGCATGAGACAGCTGAGGTTTCTCATGTTACATTGAATGCAGGGAAACAGCTGGAAAGTCAGAAAGTGCACAGTGCTACAACCATGGTGGTGGAGACATGTTACATTGAATGCAGGGAAACAGCTGGAAAGTCAGAAAGTGCACAGTGCTACAACCATGGTGGTGGAGAACTCAGCAAGACTGATAATACTTTGCATTTGAATAGCTCACAGTGCCTAAAATTTTCAAAAGGGCACAACAGGCAGCAGGATTTAGCCCCCCAGACTGCAAGTTCTCACAGCATCATTATTAATTTTGCAGAAGATACAACACAAATTTTGTAGTCATCAGGTACAGTAATTTCTAATTTGGGGGTACCACCTCCTCATCCTTTCTTCCTTGATCCCAAAGTGCCCAGCAATCTTAGCTCAGACAGGAATGTGACTCAAGCCTTCAACTGAAGAGCTGTCACCTGCAAACCCTGAAGGCTGGATGTGGCCGTGGTTTTATCACTGGCCACCAGCTGCCTCTACAGCTCTTGCCTCCTCCCCAATGATTCAGCAAATCTTCTTCGAGGAGAAAAACAAGCACACAAATGAACAAATCACAATGTCAGATTACAAGATGAGAGGGGAAAAGCTGTGGCTCGAAGGAGGGAGATAAAAGTTGGTGAAGTTACACAAGCCAAGGATGAAAATGCCCAATAAAGACAAGGTTTTTCTTTGAAGGGGAGCAATAATAAAAATGTGAAAAAAAAAAGTTTGGATACTTAATGCTGTGAAACATTGCTAAGAGAAAGAAAACAATGTGAAAGGAAATGAAGCGTATTCTACCCTCTGCCATCTGGACATTGCACAGGGCTGATAGGGATTTTTACTGGTATACATGAGAACTGAACAGTCCAATCTGGTTTACACTGGAACAGTGTGAAGCTATTTTCAGAAGGAGTTTCTGCTCTCTGTAACTAAGACTTCCACTAATCTGGAAGCTCCTTGCCAGGCACTTTGAATGTCACTGTTCCAGGAAAAAAGGATGCAAGTCATTAGCAGAGGGCAGTTGGAAGTAATGTTTTAACTCCTGACAGCTTTGGCTACTGCATTGTATTTTTCTATCATAGCCCTTTTCCATAAAGGTTTTGTTTCCTGCTTGAGGCAAAACACAGGATCAGTGTAACAGTTCTGTAGAATAAAAAGTAAAAAAGAAACTCCAGCCATACCTCAGCTAGGAGATGCAATATTTCCTCTAATGGCATTCCACTCCACTCAGAGCCCAGACTTCTAAGAACACCGTGAGATTTTAGGGAAAATAAGTGTTTGGAATTTATGGAAAGCTCATGCCACATTTGGGGAATCTCTCAGCCCAGCGAGTCCTCCAGTATCTGTGAGAGAAATGCAGCCTTCCCCTGGATTAAATACAACAAAAAAAGTGAGCACAGAAGGAAGGGAGCTCAGGAACCATGGACACATATGGGATAGATAAACTGTCCCCAGAGGGAAGAGAGTTTTGGGGTACACACTCACACTGCTGCTCTTTCCTAGGAAATACAAAAGAAGGAACCAGAGGCTCTCCCTTTGAGCTCACCCGGGATATTATTGCTGTGTAAGTCATGTAAAGAGTGCCAGGGTGTCTCCTTTTATAGCATTTCCCTGTGCTGTGCTGCCATCTGCTTTCACAGCGCTAGGAGTCTCCCCTCAGGTCTGACAATACTCAGCTGAGCTCTAGAACTCCGTGTCAGCCCACCTGAAGAGAGGAGAACTTTCCACCAAGTTCAAATGTTTAAACTGTGGCTACAGAGAAGATGGAGATTCCCTTTAGGAGGAATCACATGGGAAGAATGAGGGGTAATGGTACAGAGTTACTCCTGGGGAGATTACGGTTGGATGCTAGAGGACAATTTTTCACAGTGAGAGCAGTCAGCCATTGAAATAACCTCCCCAGGGAAGTGGTGGATTCCCCAACACTGGACACTTCTCAGATCACCTGGACAGGGTACTGGGCTGTCTTATCTAAACAGGGCTTCTGCCAAGGGAGGTTGGATCAAGTGATTCTTGCGGTCCCTTCCAAATTGGTATTCTTTGTTTCCATCAAAACGTGCCACTGCTGCACCCTACAGGCTGGAAACAGTTCTTTTATATTAGTCACAATGTCTAAGCCAGGCTTATGGTCTTGTGGGGGGAGTGGCTCCTGGGTATTTCGGACTGGCTCTGTTTCTACCCCATCCCAGAGCTCTCACTGAAGGAACACACCCAGTTCCCACCTTGCTGGGATGAGCAGAAGGAAGAGCAGCAGCTGTAACACAGACATGCCACCAACCCTGACTCAAAGACCCCACAGCAGTGGGGGACACAGGGCTCAGCTGGGCCAGAGATGTCCCACATGCTGGATCCCCATGGGAAAGGGAGAGCTAGGGAACAGGGGAAAATGGGCTGGAGACCTTCACTTGCTGAAGCTGCTGCCTTGTTCTGCTATATCCCTTTAGGTCTGGCACAACAGAGGAGGCACGGGGAGAAACTGCCTGGCAGTGGCCACTCCAGCAAAAGTCCACTTGAGGTGAGGGGTCCTGGGGATGTGGTGAAGAGCACTGCCCTTCCCAGCACACCCCACTCATCCTGGGATGCAGCAAACCTGGCTTTCTGCCAGGAATCGATGCCATGTGTTCCTGTGCTCTCCTGAGTGGCTTTGCCAGATGAACAATCTGGGAGAACTCCCACAAGAAACATCTTTGATTTTCTCACTGTTGGCCTTCACTGGCACTTTTTAAAGGAAAAAAGTATCTTAAGGACATTTTCCTTTTGCATTGCCCCTTGATGCAGAGGTTGGACCAAAGTTAAATTGGTCACTTTGCTGAGTCCCTTCTCTTCTGAAATCTGGAGCAAAACTTCATTTTCACATGTTCCAGTGACAGCCCCAACTCTGTGTAAGCCACAGACAGAGTGCAAATCTGATCCCTTCCCTGTTTCTTATAGAGGGATATAACAATTACTGGTTAAGGGGTGAGAACCTGATTGGCCTCACCAGGACCTGTCAACCACACAATGTCATCTTTGTGATGAAGAAATGTCAACTAAACCACAGGATGCTGCTGTACAGACCAGGCAGAAAGTGTGCACCAATGATGTGAATAAATGGATGTCTACATTTTCATAATAACCCGCTAATGAGTCCTCTAGGAAGCTCAACAAGCTCCCAAGAGAGAAGCAAGCATTCAAATGAGCTGGTAATACACCAGAGAGCAGGAATAACAGACAAATTGCATTCCCTCTGATCTCTCTGAGTGCAAGAACTAAACTCTGATCAGGATGGCCATGAGGAAAATAGAAAAGATAACTGAGGAGATTTGGCCTCCATCCCACACAAGCAGCACCTGCAGGGCTCTCACACAGCCATGCCCATCAGCCATGGACTGGCCTCAGGCTACTGAAGGACAAGGGTGTGGAGGCTGCCCTGCTTCAGCTCCGAGCCAAGCCTGGCCCATGACATTGGCACACAGCTGCACTCCTGGCTATATAAACACAGCTCTCCAGCTGGGACTGTCCCCTCAGGGCTGCCCTAGCCATGGCTCGCTGGCACATCCTGGCCTTGGCCCTGTGCTCCTACCTTGGGGTAGCCTGGGCTGCGACCGTAAGTACAAAGGCTGGGTTTGCACCCTGAGGCTGAAGGCTTTCTTCTTCTGCCATTTGTCTTTGGGACTGTAGGGGAATTGCTGCTGCCTGTCTGCTCCAAAGGGCACCTGCAGCTCCAGTGGCACCTGTGGTCTTTCCACAAGGGACCAAGGGTACGGATAGGGAGGGCAGGATGTGAATGCGTGGCAATGTGGGAAGCCAGAGTATTGAAGGACAGAGCAATGGATTTTCTCTTCTCCATGGTACCACCTGCAGCTGGGTGTGGTGCTTACCGAGGGAGGATTTGTGGAAGGTGAGAGTAAGAAACTGGGACTCTTTGGGAGCTACGTCGACATCTTCAGAGGGATTCCCTTTGCCGCCCCTACAAAGACTCTGGAAGATCCCCAACCTCATCCTGGCTGGGATGGTAAGATCCATCTTTTGAATGCCTCTGGTTTGTGTTTTTATTCTTGCTTCTCTCTCTTTTAGTCTGTTTTTCTCAAGCTAAAGATGTTCTTGCCTGCTCTCATCCACTTAGTGGGGCCAAGAAAAAGCTCTTTGTCTCCTGAAGGGTCTAAGAGCCAGTGTCTAAATGTTCCCAAGAAAATGAGGTAACCCTGGAAAGTAAGAAAACTGAAGCAAGGCACCTACACCTGCCCTCCCCGTGCCTCGGCTGTCCTGAGCTGGTTCACAAGGGAAAGTCTCCCAGTTTGTCACTCCCTCAGACCAGGCACAGTGGCAGGGGAGGCTTTGCTGCCACTACACTGGACTCAGAGAGGAACAGATGGGTGAGCAGACACCTTGCAATCAGAGGATGGAGCTGATGCCCTTAACTGGTCTTCCCTCTTTCCTTTCAGGGACTCTGAAGGCAAAAGAATTCAAAAAACGCTGCATGCAGGTGAAGCTCACCCAGACTGATGTCCGTGGGAGCGAGGACTGTCTCTACCTCAACATCTGGGTCCCTCAAGGGAGGAGACAGAGTATGTGCTTGGCAGGGACCTGGGATGGACTTTCCCACCTGCCCTTTCTGGACACAGTTCTCTGGAGCCTCTCTCAGCAGTTGTGCTCCATAGTGGGCAGGTGCTGAGCAGTGATTTCCAGGGGACGGGGGGAACCGTGTCAGACACTGTCCCTCACCTTCACCCTGTTGGAAGGGTCAGGCTCTTGAGGAGAACAAGGATTTTCTTGCAGAGCATCAAGTCAGCTCCTGCCCAGGGCAGGAGGAGTGATGATGCTCAGGGAGGGGGTGAGGGGATGGAGGGGCAGCACCTTCCAGCTCAGTGGGGGCTCACTCTGCTCCTGTTCCTCTCCTGCCAGTCTCTACCAAGCTGCCTGTGATGGTTTATATCTACGGTGGTGCCTTCCTGGTCGGAGGCAGCCAGGGAGCCAATTTCCTGGACAACTACCTGTATGATGGGGAGGAGATTGCCGTGCGGGGCAACGTCATCGTGGTGACCATCAACTACCGCCTGGGGCCGCTGGGCTTCCTGAGCACCGGGGATGAAAACCTGCCAGGTACCACAGCTGATCCCTCTCTGGGGCCCCGTCCTGGTACCCAGCTGGACAGCTTGGCTGTGCCCCTGCTCACTGGTGGGTGATGTCTGTCCCTCAGGGAACTACGGGCTCAAGGACCAGCACATGGCCATTGCCTGGGTGAAGAGGAACATCAAGGCCTTTGGGGGTGACCCAGACAACATCACCATCTTTGGGGAGTCGGCTGGTGCCGCCAGTGTCTCCCTGCAGGTGAATTCTGCTTGTTGGTTCTGATCACAGCCTCTTGCCTGGCTCTGGGAGAGAGGGACCCCGTGGCACTCATCTGCTTTCCTCCTCACCTGCTGCCTCATTAACGTCCTGCCCTGGCCAGGACAGCAGTGCTCAGCCTCAGGGCTTTGTAGCTGCTCCTCCTTCATCAGCTTCACCAGTCCCATCACCACTGCAGCCACGTGTCTTTGCTTTTGGGACCTGTGGGGAAACACCCTATACTTTCCATGTCCCCCTCCTCTGCTCTTCTTCTCAATATCTCACCTTGGAACTTGAACTCCTGAGACTGTTGAACTCCACAGGAGTGGGCAGCTTCCCCAGGCTGGCTACACAAGCTGTGAGGTGATCAGTGGACTCTGGTAGGCCATGGTTCTTCTCAGGAGTTTGCCCCCAAACCCCTCTTGTTTCTGTTTTGCCTCCCAGACCCTGTCCCCAAAGAACAAGGGCCTGTTCAAGAGAGCCATCAGCCAGAGCGGTGTTGGGATGTGCAGCTGGGCCATCCAGAGGGACCCGCTCGTCTGGGCCAAAAAGGTATTGTGCAAGTCGTGCCTGGAAAATGATAAAATGAGAAAAAGGAATTCTTTAGAGGCGGGCTAGGAAGGGATTGGGCAGCAGCTGTGGCAAACGGGGCTGTGGAAATTTGCTGCTTTGAGATTAAAATCAACCCACAGCTCTGTCTCTAGAACAATAACTCCTGGCTTTGGGAACCAGTGCTAGGAAGTTTCTCTCTCTGTCTTCTGCCACAGCTTGGAGAAAAGGTGGGCTGCTCCACAGACAACACCACCGTCTTGGCCAACTGCCTGCGCAACTCTGATCCCAAAGCCTTGACCCTGGCCTACCACATGCAGCTCACCAACCTGCCCAGTAAGTGTCCCAGCCTGTGCTCCAATCCATCAGCCTCCCTGGGCTCCCCAAATCTCCTGCAGGACACTGGGTCAACTTCTGAGTGTTGAGGTGGTGCTTGTGCCCTACAGAAAAGGGACTTTATTTGGAGCTCTTGAAGTCACTTTTCTGTGGGCTGATGCACATTGCACCAGATGAACACTGCCCACCATGCAATGGCAGCAGTGGCAGGGGGATTATCCAATGGCCCTGCCTTGGCCTCAGGGCAACTGTTTGGGCTTCCTGTTCTGTGAAAGCAGCAAGTGCAATGCCAGAAAATGGCTTGTAAACAAACAAACGAAAAGAAATCACATCCTTGCAATTTCTCTTTGAGTCGCTGGGTGGAGTGTAGGAACGCTGCTGCGTTTGCGCCCGTGGAGATTCCTTTCCGAGGAAGATTCTCCTGGCGCTCCTGATTGCAAATCACAGCTTTTAACCTTGGTCAGAAAAGAGAGGTCAAAGCAGTGGTCAAAACACTGCTGTGATACTGCACACTGTGGCGCTGACTGTCCTTACAATCAGAGATCATGGTCAGGTGGGATGAGAAGTTCAGCTCTTTCCTATCTTCGCTGAACTATTTGGGATGGCATTTGCAGGAGAGGATTTGTGGATGTTACCAGGTGGTGTTTGGCTGGCTGATCTCTTCTTCTGGCCCTTCTTTGGCAGCCACAGCTATGAGGTTTACCCTGCATCTGGGTGACCTCCTGCCCATACTGAAGTCACTACTCAAGCTGTCATTTACCTCAGCCTGTTCTCTCCTGAGCTCTTTGAGTGATGGGATATGCCAGAGCACACATCTGTGTTTCCTCACCTCCTAACTCCACTCTTGTGTCCTGCAGTGCCCCTGGTGCACACCCTCGCCCTCGCTCCTGTGGTCGATGGGGATTTCCTCCCAGACACGCCAGAGAATCTCTT